CCTATCTCACGTCTTTACAGTTCAGGATAATCCCCAGTCCAAATCTGTAGTGCAACGTCTAAATACATACAGTATAACAAATATAACACTAACAGGACCATCCCCTTGTATATACCAGAGCAGGGAGCAAACAGGATGCAAACCCCACCCCTGCTAGCTCTGATGGTGTTACCAAGTTGGGCAATGAAATGTTTGCAAGAAAATAACTAAGCACCAAGGACCCCACTTATTACAAACACAATATTAGTAGTTTTGGCATGGCCCCGCTGTTTAATTTGTACAGAAACAATTTCGAGACAATGCTGGATTTCTTCACCTTTACCATCATTACTATTATCACCCATATTACCTTTATCATCCTTATCACCTATATCACTTCTATCAGGAGTCCCGCTAGCACAGTGGTTAGAATGCAGTACTGCAGGTTAACTCTGCCCTTAGCCTGGAGTTCAATCCTGATGGGGCTCAAGGTCGACTCAACTTTCTATCCTTCCGAGGTTGGTAAAATGAGGACCTAGATTGTTGGGGGAAATATGTTGACATTCTAAACGTCCCAGAGAATTTTCTAAAGCACTGTGGGGTGATACATAAATCTAAATGTTATTGCCAAATACTATTTATCAGAGTTATCTCAATCAATTGAGGTACTGTAAGGTGGTTTTTTTTACCACTGGTATCTTAGCTGTTCCCATGAACATTGCTACACTAGATCCACAACACATAGACAAATAGACACATATACATAAACAACATCTACATATGTCAGCAGCCGATCCTCCCCTGTGTCTGTGCAGACAGGCAGCTCTCCATCCAATCGACCTCCTCCCCCAATGCCTGAGGGGTCTGGGACAGCACTGTCCTCAGACCCTGGCCTCCCCAAACATGCCAAGGGAGGTGTGCCATCCCTATTAGATGGTCCTGGTTCCTCCTCCTCCAAACTGGGCACCAATGGGACCACAACGCTGTGATTGTGGTGCAATGAATACAACACACAACCCCACTGGGTTTACAATATACACTAATACTTACCGCAACACCAGAAGTACCCAAAGGACCCAGAAGAGTTAAAAAAGACGTGCAGTTTTACAATTAATAGCCTTGAAGTCGCAGGTCCAATTTCTGCTATGGTTGTTTGCTTGCTTTAATTTATTGCCTGGAAGCTTGCATATTTGCACAGAAAGAAGCTCAAATATTAAAAATTAATTATCTGCTTGTGCACGAGCTTCTATCATTATTCCTGCATGTTCAACGTAGCTTTTAAAAACATAAATTTCTTGTCTATCAATCATTTCTGTCTCCAGGACAGACTCTGAAGACAGCAATTCGTTTCCCAGGAACTTGACCTGAATAATTCAGTTTATACTGGCCTTGTTTACTCCTGTAAAGGGGTTTCTTTGCTGTGTTGTTCATTGCCTTCACTCTGACTCCTTCCCCAGGCCTAGGCAGGCATCTGACCTCAAAGCCAATTTTTCCAGGAACACTGGGAACAGGCTCCAGCTATTCTTCTGTCCTACTGCTGTCTGGCTCCGAAGGTAGCTGATAACTGTCAGACAGTCCTGGCCCCATCTCTGCCTCCAATGCAGAACCCTCATCAGAGCCTTCCCCAGACTCCAGGACTGGTCCATGTTCCTCCCTTCACTGTCCGAATCTGCTGCCAGCTCCGCTGGCCTCTGGCGGGCTACAACACACATCCTTTGAATTATTCCCAAGAACCAAGGATGTTGCAAGTATTGGCATAATATACAGTAGATATGGGACTTTTGCAATTAACAGGTAGACATTTGTCAAGGTGCAGATTTTCTAAGTGCCTATAGTCACTGGGACCACAAAGGCTGGTTTCTGCCATAGTCTTTCAATTTCAATTTTCAGATTTTGATGTGTTGTATAGTTCTGCAACTTTTCTTCTTCTGTTCTACAATCTTCTGGTATTGCCACATAACTTAGCCGCCCTTTCTTCTTTTCAACCATAGTTAAACGTGGCCAAGACTTTATCCAGTCTATATTTGAAAATCCCATAATATTTTAGCCTGCTCATTTTTGACTACTTGTTCCAACTACATGCTCCCACCAATTTTTCATTACTGGTCCATAATCATTTTTACTGATGTTCCAGTGAATCGTTTGGTGACTTTGTTTATACTGGTGTTTACAATCAGATTCTGCATTTGTTTGATGTTATTGCAGGAGTTGAGTCTGTGATCTACTATTTCTTCTGCTTCTTTGCACAATCTTTACTTTGAACTGTTTGATAGTCTTCGTGGCCTTGATTGCATTAGTTCAAATAGTTTGTTCTTGTGCGGCCAAAATCAACCCTTGACTTTTTTTTTATGTTTAATGTTCCAATAGTAAGCTATTGTCAGGCCTTATCTTTATCCTCTTCCCCCCGCCCTCAATTGTTTGTAGAAATTGACTGTGTGATGCTTTTGCTTATCAGCATGGTCCAGAACAAACAGAATAACAAACAGAGTTGGGAGGGACCTTCTAATGGAGGTCTTCTAATCCAACCCTATGCTCAAGTAGGAAGCCCTCTATCATTTCAGACAAATGGTTGTCCAATCTCTTCTTAAAAACTTCCAGTGTTGGAGCATCCACAACTTCTGGAGGGAAGTCATTCTGCTGGAGGAAAATTGTTCCACTAATATTGTTTGTGTTTTTATTACATTATTTCAGTATTCATTTTTTGTTTCCTCTATATTTAGTAAGTTCCAATTTCTACCTTGCATCGGGTTCTCCTCTGTTCTACATCTGCAAAATAGAACCTGTTAACCAATAAATGTCAGTAATGTTGAGAACCACTTTTAAATCATTTAAAATCTTGTTGCACTGGACCTTGCCTTGTATGGTAGGTTATAAAGTGAGTCTACAGAGCTCCAAGGCCTGTATTTCTCTATAAAAAGTTGGACAGAAGATAATTATTCCAATGTATATCTTATACGAAGGGGCATGTTGGCTCAGTGGCTAAGACACTGAGCTTGTCGATCAGAAAGTTCGGCAGTTCAGCGATTCAAATCCCTAGCACCGCGCAACAGAGTGAGCTCCTGTTACTTGTCTCAGCTGCCAGCCTAGAAGTTTGAAAGCATGTAAAAATGCAGGTAGAAAAAATAGGGACCACTTTAGTGGGAAGGTAAAAGCATTCCATGAGTCTTTGGCGTTTAGTCATGCCGGCCACATGACCACGGAGACATCTTTGGACAGCGCTGGCTCTTTGGCTTTGAAACAGAGATGAGCATCGCCCCCTAGAGTCGGGAACAACTAGCATATATGTGCTTTGTCAGAGGTGACATGTTAAAAAACCAATAAAAGGATTGTGACGCAGATGGTCTAACATTTTCCACAATTCTAGGAAGACCTTGTGTTGCCTCTTTGTATGAATATATATCATTTTCAGGGTTCCAAATAACATCCAAAAGTAAATCAGGGTCCAAGACAAAGTATTGCTCACAAAGTTCCAATTTATTAAGAGAGCCATTTTGGCACATCTAGGAAAACAAATCTGAAAGCTTCCCAATTTTCCCCACCCAGTTGAAAGTTCAAAATCTTGCCCTCATACCCACAAGTCCATTACATGGTCCAATCTCCCACTGCCATGCCGGCAGTTCCACCCATCCAGTTCCGGTCAGGTGCAAGACAAAGGATGACTTTGGCTTTCTAGAAAGAATTTTGTTATGGCTACATAGCATTTAACTCCATACAATCCCCCCTCTCATTTTCCCACAATAGAAAATGCCTAGTAGATTAATAGAAAGTGTGGCAGGCCAAAGACCCAAAATAAAAGATGGCTGCAGGCCTGACATGCAGTTTCCCCTAGTTGTAAACATTTCTAGGACTAAATACAGTGGTGGGATTCAGCCAGTTCACACCACTTCATATCCACAAGAAAAAAATGACTGCAGGCCTTGACAATCATAATATTACAACTTTCTTATTTGCAGGGAAAGTTTTGGTCCACTGTGCCATGGGGATAAGCCGCTCAGCCACTCTGGTGCTGGCTTTCTTGATGATCTACGAAAACAAGAACCTCGTGGAGGCCTTAAAGACGGTGCGAGAACATAGAGGGGTCTGCCCAAACACGGGTTTCCTCAGCCAACTTCGAGAGCTCGACCTCCGGTTGATGAGTGAAAAAGGGAAAGCAATGGGAATCCCTTGAAACTTTAGATATAAAATACTTGGACATTGGGAAGTCCAAGAAGAACAATTGAATCACCTCAGAAATACTTACATACCTGTGATGTTTACAGGCAATGTCATGAAAACTATCTTGTTGGCATCTTGTTCAAGATTAAAGGTGTGCAGGAAACTTGGTATCTGTTCCTACTGGTTCGGACCGGTTCAGCTGAGTAGGTATTAACTCAGCCTGCCATGCCCCCAAACCGGTTCTCTCCACGGCGCAGTAGGTGCCACCATCTTGTTTTTTGTTCCTGTGCATGAGCAGAAACATTTTTTTTACTACTGCGAATGCCCACATCCCTGAAGTGAACCGGCAGTAGCAGTAGCCGGAACCTACCCCTGATCTGTTCCATGTTTGATAATGGATTCCCAGGAATATATTGCTGGAAGGAGTCCTTGGAAGCACTGAATCTAACTTCCCGCTCTCTAAAGGAATTCATACCCTGTTCAGCCTCTGCTTGAATTGTTCAGGGAAGGATCCAGTGCAGAAGTGGTATTCATCCAGTTCTCACAGGTTCTGGAGAACTGGTAGCGGAAATTTTGAGTACTTCGGAGAATCGGCAAATAGGCTGGCCCCGCCCGCCGCTGCCTCCCAGCCTCCCAGCTGATCTTCTTTTGTTGCCCTGAACAGGAGAA